CAGTCCTACATTTTTTTCTTTGGTCCATACCCGATTTAGCTGTACTTTTAGTACTAAACTGACTTATTAATTTTCTCGTCTACCTGACCACGATGTTCTCTTCAGTCATTTGTACCTCGATACTCGATCTCCAAATACGCTTTTTAAGCACCATCTGCCACCTATTTCTCTTAATTAAACTAAAGCGCAATTGCGATTTTCGCATTGATAAGATTCACAACATATCCGGTTTCACAAAGTGTATAACTCTTAAAAGTCTTCTGTATAGTGTTCACAATGTCGTAAACCTTAGGTAGTCGGTATGGCGTACGACTCTACAGGCTATAGTATAGCATACTATTATACTAAAAAGCATCATTCATGTTCGTATCTTCATCACGCTATATAAATGCGCTCGCTGAGTGTCGTTATAACCCCAAAAGTATGTGTTATCGATTGTTTAGCTTTGCCGACGAGGAGTAAGCGATTCATATCACAATCGAAGAGCTATTTCTATAAATAGTCCGTGTGCTTAACATCCGGCACAAATCCGTTTTTAGAAGCCACCCCGAAGACTAGAGATTGGCTCTCGATGCAAATCGCGTCCGATTCTTATTAAATTTTCCTCTATTCTTCGAAAGTCGGTTGTTCATTACGTTCGAACTTCCTTTAAATTTTTCTACTCAACACAAAAAATTTAGGTCTTCCTGTTGCTGATTAAATTAAAAACAATTGTATATTGAGAATGAACAAAAAGTGAAGATTTACTTGGACAATATAGCCTATAGAAGTTCGCTGAGCTCAGCTCATCGACCGTCCTTCCTTAGCATTTTTTACTGATGCAAACAAATGTTTTCACAATAAATGCGACGAATTTCGTGACAGAAAACTTGTGGCATATAAAGACGTAATAGAGAGCATTTTTATACATAATAATTAATTAAACAGGGAAAATAATAGCATCCCCAAGCGGGGGATTCTAGATAAACACGATCACAAAAAACAGACAGGAGCAATAACATTAATTTAAAGCAGCGACCTTTGGAGGCCACCCTTCGATAAAATAACCAATTCTGGTTACTGTACCGCAGCAATTAGTAAAGAATTTTTATGATGATGCTTGTGGCTGTATTGACCCTTAGAGTATGCTTGCGTAGCGCGATTGCAATTTGCTTATCATCGTCCGTCATTTAATTTGTGATCATATTCACATTTAACTAATTTTATGCCAACGAAAAGCGTGCACCACAATATTGACCTAGCTAAAGAGTGACTTTAAGTATGTCTGTACACCTACGAGGGGGGGGGTAGTCTAGCTTGCACTCAGTACTTAAAAGATATAGATGGCCGTGTTATGTATAGACAGACGTATATGTATATTTTAATTTAATTTAGAAGATCGATATTCGCTTTGGTCACAGTCACTAATAAATTCACCCTTTAAGCTTGATACAACTTGTTTAAATACATGGAGATTAAAAACCGTATATATGTGTACCTCAACTATTTCGAGCACGCCTAGCCTGAGTTTAAATTTTTAATTAAACAGTGCGGCGTGCAATGGTCGCTAAATGAAATATACTTTGTTCGAATTAGACTTAATTATTTTTGCAGATACATCATGTATGTACAGCCCTTTACTGTTACGAGCGTGTTGAGCTTGAGGATCAGCTTCTATTTCACTAGGGGCCTGCGGAGGTTTCCAGACAATTTTTTCATATTCAATTTATGTTAACGTTACTCACACATGCACATGCACCAATACTTTCAGAACTTGAATGTTCTGAGCGTGTCTAGCTAGAGACTCGCCTTTTTTTCTTCCTTTGGGAGCGTGCGGCAACTGCTTATTGATACCTCTATGTTTCAACATGTTTTTCCGTATTCAGAAAAGAACTAAACAATAACCCCTTGTCTGGAGCCTAATTGTATATTCAACCCAGAATAGTGCTTATACTGCGCTCTTTCAGCAAGGATGTACCTGTACAGTGGCAGCAAGCCGAAAAATTAACACAAAAAACCATCAATTATGGAAGGTTTGACGCTAAGGTTGATTACGATGCGTTCAAGCGACCGATTGTCAAGTGTGAGGACTCAAACAACAGCTTAAAGGGTAAATACCGTTATCTGTGCTCAAATTTATAAAATAAGTAAATTAGATCGATACTGCATGTTAAAGTAGACGTAATATCCAGCTTGACTCACACTAATTGCCTCTATAAGTCGATGTTGTGTCTACAATCTGATATTTTCATTAGTAGCAGTTTAAAGAGTGCCAAACGATGGCTAGCATTTGTAGGATTCCTCATGACCAAACGAACAAATATAGTGGAGCAAGTATTCCCTCAATTTGAGACAAAGACAATGTAACGGAGAAATCTTAAATTGTTTTAAACATAATCGAAAAATTGCATATAATCAAGCAATTCACACCTTGACTGTTCCAAGCATGTATAACATAAGTCTTAACATCTATTTCACTGTCATGGCGTGCAGATGTTGCTACAAAAATAAATGAATATCCTAAAAAAATTGAGCATGCACAAAAACATCATGCATATAAATGGTAAAGTCGATCTCACAAAATTGCTTGAGTGAGTATCGATCTTCCACTTGCCCAGACTTGCGGACTCACGGAGGGGTTACTCCTATCCGTGCCTTTTTGTATAACCTTGTGCTCACCTTGTGTACCCGTCGGTTGGGCTGGCTTGAGCTCTTCGTAAAGGCCTTGGGAGATATCGATCCCGCTGAGGGTTTGGGGTTGAGAGTTCGCTTCCGGTGCGGTAATCTTTACACCACGAACTGTATATCTGCGATCTTGGTATTAGGTCGCGACGATCCCTACGTGGAAAAGTCGAGATCTTGATCTTGGACCACACCGATATCGATTTGTCATCGGGATCGAAGTCTCAACTGTGTGAAAATCTTTACTCAGCAAATAGTTGTCTTGTGTCGATCTTGCGTTGGGATCGGTTCAATCGGTCGATCTTGCCGGAAGTGCACAATTTGGGCCGACAGGTTTCTTGATTCGCCAAAATGAAACGTGTCGGTCTGCCTTGTAGATCGCTTTGTTCTTGCTCGGTCTTGTCTTGAACTCCTGGCCTAGATCTTCATAGTACTTGAGCCGTCTAGCGATCTTGTAATCAAAATCATTTTCCTTGTGGCTGCTACCCGAGCAGTTGAGTTGAGTGTGAGTACTTGATCGATCCGGGCCAAACTTCCCGAGATCGCTCATCCCGATCTTGGCCAACAAGCCAAAATCGGTCTTCAATGTCCTTGTAGCACGCGTGCCTCAAACCGTCGGGGAAGCCAAAGAGTTCTTGCCCGTAAGAGAAGGGGGAACGCGCGTCGTGAGCAGAAGAAGTAGAGTTCAAGTCTGTTTATTAACCAACCAAATTACTAGCCAACCTATCTTTAGGCCTACTCCTAACCGTAGGTCGCTCTCCAAATCATAACCACCGTTAAGCTTGACCGCCCGCTTGAACACGTGTCGATATTTCGTGACCTGTCCTCCAAAGATAGCACCGATATCCCCGATATCGTACCTAAACACCAAAAGAAGACCAAATCCCAAATATGGTACCAAATCCCCATTTTGGTACCGGAGACCACTAAAAAGTGCTCCAATACCAAATGTGTCTAAACCCATTTGCGACCTTAATTCAACCGACTTCCACTGGCTCTTTCGGTCTGAACTTTTAAGACATCACTCAGGACCTCCAACAAGCATATCAATCATGATCCAATAGCTCCATTAGCGATTTATCCATAATCAGTGGGGAACATGACCGATCTGCTGCCCAATTCGAGATAATTGAGGATCGAAACAGTTTAATTCAACAGTAGACATTTTCCCGTTCATCGTGTGTGCTCCAATACCATCCTTTAAGGCTTATTTGATAAGTGGGACCATCCACGCGTCTTGAATTAGCTTCCTGGACTTTTATAAGTGTTCACACTTCCATATCGGGCTGTAATTAACCAACATCAAAACTCCCGTTGCGGGACCGGTAGAGAGTATCATCGATCGACAAGATGTTACACCTTTGTCCTTCAAGCGGATCGTTTGACTTCACCCCTTCCTGTGTCCGAGATCGCACCATGGAAATCGTCTATGCCTGCGACCCGTCCCAAATTGTTCCCTGTAAATCATTCCTTTTAAAGCTTCGTCTAAGATCGTTCCACATCCATCATTTTGTCGACAGTAGGATCGGTTCGTTAATCTCCGTGGGATCACCATCCATCTACTATTGGATCGATAGATCGTTGGGTGTCAGTTTCCACCAGTAAGTGGCATCTCAATTGGGTGGTCACCGATCCACGTCCCAAAATTTGATTAGTGACTTTGCCACATATACATATTTTGACTATCCTGAGCATTTATAGCTTAGGTCTCAGTCTCTGCTTCAATTTTACGGCTTGCGACGATTGCTTGATAATGTCAAGAAAAATGAATAAATTTTAGGCAGAAAAGTGGTTTGTATCTACGTACTATTCGAAACATCTTGTCTTAACCACCACTCATCTGGAAAGTCGGAAGAAAGGTGATCTCGCCCTTTGAGATTATGTATCAAATGCGCGCCTAACTCTCATATCAGCCATTTTTACATACAATTTTCATAAATAGTTTAGTTCATGATCCTAATTTATCGAAAACCCTTTATGTTAAGCATTTTAATGCACTATCGACACTATGTATTTAAAATCTAAATATGTGTATAAATAGGGAATTGCTAAATACACACCCCTTTTCCTTAGATTCACACCCTTCCTTCAAAATCTTATATATAAAATACATATTCATGTTAAGATTTGTTATCTGACAAAGGCATTACTCATTAATCTAGGCCATTAATTGGCAAGTCATACTAAGTTAAACGCAAGTCTAGAAGACGTCGATTTTATGCATCTCGTACTTAACTTATGCTCATATGTTGAGGGTAGCAAACTGATAGGCTGTCCGTGAAGCATGTTCAAATGTCTGTAAGCAGTCAAGGGGGGGACGAAACAAAGCGTGCTGTACTCTAATCCGAGCCGAGGCTCTTACGGATCTGCTCCGTCACCTTATGCATTTCCGTGTGAGCATTTACTTCCACCAGTTTGCCTTGCTCACGGTAAATGTCAATTACGGGCTGCGTCTGCTTGTAAAAATCCTCCGGACGCGAGCCGAGCGTGGCTTCATTTTCGTTCTTGCGCTGAATCAACGGATCGCCCGTAATGTCGTCCTTAACGTCCACATATGACGGAGAAAACTTTAATAATCAACATAGCATCCACCGAGGTGTTTTCCTTCGTCAACATCTCGTCGAGCTACTCAGCACCACATACAAAAAGAGGAAATTTTGGTCAGCCGCTGCGTTGCAACCTGGACACTCGTCTGTATCTTCTCTTGCTCTCACCGTTTTGGCCTGCACGACCGTTCGTGGAAAGTCGTCAATAATAAAGCCACGACGGTATTCCGAACTCTTGATGGCTTCCTTAACTATTACAGACGACAATCTCGTCGGTCACAAGTGCGCCCGAGTCCATCGCGGCTTTGACCTATTTGCCTATGTCGGTGCCAGCAGCAACAACAGCGCGCAAGATGTCGCCCGTAGCCAAGTGGCAGAATAATTACTCGTTTTTGTCCAGCGGCGATTGCATACCTTGTTTATATAAGATTTTGAAGGAAGGGTGCGAATCTAAGGAAAAGGGGTGTGAATTTAGTAATTCCCTATATACATGTATATTTTTGAACGCACTACTAACAACCTTTATATCGCCATAATTCAACAAAGCACAATAAATACAAATAACGAAATTTAAAAAATTACAAAGAGGCATAAAAAATTATAATGTGGATGCCTTGTATGAGTTATTGAATATTGAATACATGCGAGCTCTCTTAATTTACATCATTCATTAATCATCGCTTGCGTATCAGACGTTCGTCTTATCGTCAACCCCACAGGACTATATACGTATCAGTAGCTGGTAATGTGGTGGAGTAGTGATCGCTCATTTCTTGAGACGATCCCGACTCTCCACTATCGCCCAGAGGACCGACTTACGGAGGGGGTACTCAGATTCCATGTATATTGCTTTTCTCACCTTGTGTACCCGTCGGTAGGGCAGGTTGCACTCTTCCAGGTGGACTCGTGTCGAGGAAAAACTTGACCGTGTTGGAGATGGGTTTGTGTAATCGGGCGAAAATCTTCGCGCGATTACTGGGGTATCGGTGGGGTAATGATATAAGTTACCCTGATCTCAACGAGATCGCCTTGCCCACTATGTGATTTCTTGATACGCGATCCTTCTGACCACTTGAGCCGTCTCGCGATCTTGTGCCTTGCTCTTACGTGTCTTGCTGCGTCCGATTGCAGTTGAATTTACCTAAATATTCTTGAACGCACCTGGCCAAACAATCCAGGTGCGACACTTGTATGAACGGGTAACGCGACTCTTTATTCGTCGGGAGGCCAAAGATCCTGCCCGGAAGAGGTTGCGTGCGTCTTATAAAGTAAATCGAAATATCTTTAATGCTAACCAATCACCCTAAAAACTACCCCTGTACCTAATTTGTATATTCTAACTGAATGCCACGCGTCCCTGTTTCAGGAAGACCGTCCTCTCTTATTGGTGTGGCCCACATCAGATGTATCGGCAGTCAAATCTTCTTGTAATTCAACCGAGATATCACCACCACTTTACCTCGGATCGTGATCCTAGTTCCGGATCATGATCCTAGGCCAGGATCGTGATCCCTAGGTGAGGGATCACGAATCTTCCCTTGCCCTGTCTCACGATTAATCACGCAATCCAACTGGTCCCCCTGTCACCTAGCCTTGTCCCAAGTGACATCGATCCTGCTTGCTGGGGTTAGGTGCGATTTCGCTAGCCACCCGTCCCAGTTTGTGTCCACCAATTATAACGCTTTGGACCGAGCTGAGGTGTGCGATCCGTCCGATCCTCTACTACACCTGAACGGTAAACTTCCTTGTGGCTGCTTTGCCACAACCGTCCTCTGCACCGTTAGTCAACATACGGTGTTGATCTGGCTGTTTAACCTTTGTGAATTGTCCCAGCAGTCTTCATTTTCACGTCTGCCATGTCGATGGACGATTGCGTCTACTTACATCCTTTTTCTTCGCTGACCTCGAATTCGAGGTCATTCGGATCACCTTCTCCGATACTCACTCCGGACGTGGCCCCGGTCGGCGAAATAGCAGCTTAACCTCGGACCTGAGTGATCCTGTCTTGCTTTAGATTAGCCGAATCAAACCGTCGATCTCGGTCGATCAAGCGACGCTGGACGCCGCGATAGACTCGATCTTCCATCATCTGGACCTTCAGCAAGCTGTCGTGGAGTGAAACCAGAGTATGGGGTCTGCCTTGGCGCAGCAGATGGCCCAGAAGTGTCAACTGCTGGAGGATCTCCATGAGCTTCGTACTTCGGCGTCTCATTTTGTGGAGTTCGTACAATCCAAGTACGGTCGCATGCGAGTCCGATACGAAGAGGTGGTCAAGAGGTCTGACGCCTTCCGGGAGGCGTTAGTCGACCGGGTATATCAGACTGCTGTGATCGCGCATTTGAAATAAGAGATTCTCCGTAATGTGCGGGCACGCATGCCGCACAGGAAAAATCCGATCGCGAGATTGACGGGATCCGCAAGCAGATGGATGACGCGGGGGATCGGTTGGTAGCGGAATGCGATCGGCTGTCCGATAGCCTTCGCAAGGCCCAAGAGCCGTAAATCGCAGTATAAGAAGAGCTGCTTTTACGTCCAAGAGAAGCTGAGTCGGGCGCCTAAGCAGGTGGCGGGGCTCCAGGTCGAATTGGGCGAGGCGCGAGACTCTTTATCTGCCCGATCTGCTGAATGTGATCAGTTTCAGCGCACTGTTCAAGATTACGTAGCCCTTCGGAATCGCATGGCCTCGCTGGTGGCCGGGGATACTTCCGTTGCGCCTGCGACGATAGGGTCATCTAACCCTCTCGCGAAGCCCCAAACGGCATCAGGAGCCTCCAGATCCAGCGGCAAGCGACCTCGCGATATTACACCATCCGCCGCCTTGCCGCTATTTATAAAAGCGAGCATATATGCGACGTCGAAATCCAAGCCATCCCCGTGCCTCGATCCTAAGGGTGTTCGCACTTCTAAGTATTCTTCTGCCCTCAAAGGTACTCGCATTCCCAAGGGTTCCGCTACGCAGGATTCTTCTGCTACCCAAGTCGCTCGCTATCAGGAGGAATCTCATGATTCGAAGGGATCTCGCGATCCGAAGGGCTATTGCGATCTGAAGGGATCTCGAGATCCGAAAGGTTCTTGCGGATATGGCGGCGTGCTGCTACCCGGAAATTAAGCATGCAGAGACGTCGTGGTCTAGTCTTATCGTCATCTGAGGAAGAGAAAACATTGGCAAGCGAGGATGCAACGCTGGAGGCTCTGTCGGGATCTTGGTCTTCGACACGTCGTCGAGCGTCTGTTCCGACATCTCCCTTCTCGGCTAGGCCTTCCTAATCTCCCATTGTCGTAGAAAGCCAAGTCCTCCGCGCGGTTTACCGTCTCCGACTGGCCCTACTTGCGCCTCTGTGCCCAAAGTGTCCCGCGTGGATCTCTTCGGGGAGGCTTCGAGTAATTTGGACGATGCGATCAGCCTCGACTATGCGCCTCGTGCCTCGGTAAACTAATTATTATCTCTTGCGAAGAGCGGTGGTCTGCTTCCCACTAGAATTTCTCATGACCAGTGGATTCCTGGATACAGAGATCATGTACCATGGCCTTCGGCTCAAGTTTCTTCTTGGTCAGCGCGCAGCGTCAGCTGGACGAGTGTCGCGGAGTTAGACGCTGATTTCTTGTATCGTCACTTCTCCTGTCCTAAAAAGAACATCTTCCCAACGGCACTTGTGCCCAAGAATCCTCCTCTCACATCCGAGTGGACACCTCGGCTGACGTGTTCGGACCAGAATACGGCCTAAAACGCCCAAGAGCCTTAAAAGACTACTTCACGCCGGATCGCACCGATCTCTTTTCCTCGTACCGGGTGGTTCGACCAACTCGCTTTCCTGTATTTGAAATTCGAGGATCGAAACCGACAGGCGTTGTGGGCTCAACGTATGCAATCTTCCTCTCCGGCGAACAGAGGGCCAGCGATCCTGAGCTGGATACAATCTGGAAACAGCCGAAACAACGTCGATCGCGAGCTGGGCTCTGATAAAACACGATCCTTCGATTCATCTTGCAGGGTATGATCGTAGGTCACTGCGATCTGGACATTCTGTTTGACCCATTCTTTCTGCACTTCTCCTCCCACCTGGAGGTGACTCCATGGTATCCCGGATTGGGACGTAAACAGAAAAACTTTTCCAACTTGATGTCGGCTCTACCGCAGCTAAGTGTAGCTGAGCCTTGGCGTATCCAGTTTCGATCCTCTATCGCTGACAACCCCGGATCATCGATCGCACATCTGCCTGGAAAGTTATTTCCGCGTGATCGCTCGGGTTCGAGTCACATAGTTTCATAATTATAATAAGTGTCCTTCGATCCTTCATCTAATTCTTCATCTTAAAAAGTAACTTCTTTTCTTCGGCTTGTCGGCCGCGATCGGACCCTTTTCGGTCCGCTATCGCCACATACTTCACATATATCCCCAATTCCACAATCTCATGCAACCTCCTTGCACGTCTACCCATCCACCCGCATCCGCTGCCTTCCAGCACATCTTTCATCCTCATCCATCGGCCTATGCTGCCTTCCAGCATATCTACCCATACAATTGAGGGTCGTCCGATCTGTCCTCGTGTGACTGCATCACTTCGAAACGGTTTCGACTCGCTCGGTTTCGCTCAAACTCTTGCAAAATAGCCCCACAGCTTAGACCGGCCTCACCCACCCAACTCAGATCGGGATAACCTTTTCATTTCACCAAGAACTGTCGATGTAATCGCCCATAACGGATTTTACGACCGGATCGCACGTCCATTATTCCTCCACTTTATAATCTCCCTCTTCAAGATCGCCTTCCCAACTGTCTTCTGGGAGCAGAGCTTCGTCAAAATCTAAGCGATCTGCTTCGTTCTTCGTAAGCTGGTCTTTCGGCCGCTCGGGGAACATCTTCACTCTCTTCAGATTTGACAGATGTACAATCGGGAATAGTCGATATGGAGCTCATGCGATATCCAGTCTCACAGCGTGATCTCCACATTTATCCGCAACTCGAAACGGACCATTCCACATATGTGCCAGCTTCTTCGCATATCCTTTTTTGGCTCGGTCTAAGTATAGCCAAACTTGTGTACCCACTTCGATCTCGTGTGGTCCTAGATCTTCGTTATGTTGATCCGCTATTTCCTGGATTGCAGCTCGTAATTTATCGTTCAACACAGCCTGAGCTCGCTGATATTGTCTCTGGATTCGATATCTCCATATCTTTGGATCGCGATCTCGGGTTCTTGTATTCCCTTCTGATAATGTAGCCTCCAACGTAGATCGCGGATCTCACCCGTGGATCAGATAGAATGAAGTATCCCCCCGATCCTATCTTGTGAAGTATTAATCACAAACGTGAGCCGTTCAGCATACTCATCCCATTCTCGTTGGTTGACATCAGCGACGTACATCTTGAGCGACCTCGTCAGATTTTGTGCCATCCGTTAGGCCGTTCCATTTGCCTGTGGCCTATATGCCATTGTAGCACGTTGTCTCGGACCCACGATCCGACTGAAAGCTCGGAAAATTTCGGGCATAAATCACGGTTCTCGATCATGCCTGATCGCATTACTGGCGCCGAAACGCCGGAATACACATTCATCGTAATTTTTCTGCAATCGTTTTTGCCGTTCGTGACAAGCTAGCATTCGCGATCACATATCCTGAGAAGAAATCCACTAAAACCAGCAACTCCGTATTTCGTATGAAGAAATTTGGCAACGATGGTATATGATCCATTGCAATAACCTTGAATGGATGAGTTGCTTGTAAATTACCTGGCGATCTCCCCTGAATTGTCGGACATTTTTTTCCCGTTTCGCAACTGGTGCATTCGCCTACATATAGTTGCACACCCCGGTACAACTGTGGTGAAGTGGTCAAAGGAAATCCTGACTAATCGCCTTGATCACCTCCTAAGTGCATGTGGGACCGGTCATGCCGGTCTTGGGACTGACCGCTACAGAAATTCCCCAACGATAAGCTGGACGGTTTGCAAGTCGTCAGTGGCGGTCACAGATTGTGACCACCGGTTAGAGTCACGACGAATTACTGACCGGTCATGGTCCATATGGGCGACCAGTGGTCATAGTCATGATGGGTGACCAGTTATTATGGTCAAGATGAGTGACCAGTGGTCATGGTCACGATGGGTGACCGGTGGTCATGGTCACGATGGGTGACCAGTGGTCACGGTCACTGCAAGATGACCAGCGGTCATGTTGGCAGTTATGGTGGTTTACTTCAAGCACAGGTAATGGGTGGTGGTAGGCGAACAACGTAGCAGAAAACTGAGATAAAGAGAAGTGTAAATGTAGTTCTAGCCCCTAGTAGGTTAATAACGACTAGTATTGATTTTCCTACAAAAGACACGCGTCAGCATTCCTCTGGGCTAGAATACTAGTGGCCATCCCACGTACAAGGTTTAATGTCTACGTCTTTGCTCAAGGTTTGTCCCTAGATTGCTTGGCTAGGGACAAGTTTACTCATTCAAGTTAGCCCGCCATCGGACGCGGCAAGCATACAAGGCAAGGTCTTCAGACGGCTCGAGTGATCAGAAGGACAAGGTGATCAAGTGGTCAGAAGAACAAGGGGAATCAAGTATCCACATTTGGGCAAGGCGACCTCAAGGAAGGTCAGGCAACTCTAGGAGAGTGCCACCAGTAACCGTTCGTCGTGTGAATAATTACCACGCGACCACACCCTACCTATCCTCAACTCGGTCAAGACAAGACATCGACCTCAAGACACCTAGAAGAGTGCGACCGCCCGCCAACAGGTACACAAGGTGAAAAGGAACAAGACAAACAAGACACACGGTCCGGAGTATCCCCTCCGTTAGTCGGTTGTCCGGGCGCAAGTGGGGAGTCAGGATCGCTACGTAAATGAGCGAATCTCACTCCACCACAACGGTGCGCGTGCCCGGATCTTCTGGTGCCTCGGGATTTCCCCGTGAATCCCAGAGCGAAGATGTCAAGGTCAAGATTGAACTGGGGATGGAAGTGTCGGCGAAGAATAGATCGTCGCAGACACGTGATTAAAAAGGTCCCTCGCTTCGGCAAAGTTTTGGGAGGGGCTCGAACGAATCAAAATTCAAAGAGGAAGCTCGCCAAAATGATCTCGAAGAAAAAAACCTCTCTTCCCTCCTGAGGTCCCTTCGGGGACCACCGCGGATCGTACTGCAAAGTACAACCCGCTAGATGGAACACGTCCAGCCAAAGCAGGACACGTTTCGTCTAAAAACAATACCAAGCACAAAGGAAAGGAAAAAAATCGAAGGCTACGGCTCTTAAGATACGCGCGCCTGACTCCAAGGGTGATGATCAATAAATAAGCAGGGCAGCAGAGGTCAAGATGGAAGGTTGTAAGATCGATCAGCTGCGACGTCGTTTGCACTGACCCAGCTTCAAGCGTTGCTATCAACGGACCCAGTGCTGACCATCTTGGAACCGGAGCTGATCGGACCGCTTCGGGGACCGACATCGACTCCACAAGCAGCCACTAGCAAATGGAAGCAGTGCAACGTCTCACTCAACTGCTACAAGGCGCAGGATTTGTGCCGGGGGCGTTTGACGCGCAGGTATGTTTGACTGCGACCTGGATCAAGTGATCACGGCCAGCCGATCACTGTTCAAAGCGCTGGTCCCACTGACCGGCAACTATGACTCCGCTGATCGCGGGCTCACGACCAGTATCATGGTCAAAGAGGAAGACTGTTCACCAGCGACGTCGTCACATTACGCTTCGGCGGAGTCGATTGCGGACGATAGCGACGGCTTGGAAATAAAGCGAATGTCGTTAGGACCTTCCGGTGCAGAACTTTTACGTGACCACCACGAGCATCCGACTCCAACCACCGGACCGTTGAGACTAACCACAGAGCCAGCCGATGCTACGGATAACCCCGACCAGATGCAAATCTACTTTGCAAAGGCCATGAAAAAGTTTATGCGAGACCAACGACGACGGCCGCCACGTTCCGAGCCGACAAGTCGCCTCAACCCCATTCACAAGGTGTTCGGGGTAGGTATGCCAGACACGAACATGGAATCGGCTGACTCGCATGGTAGTCGCGGTAACACCTTAGATTTTGACGACCTCGACATTGACGGCGTCCATCGACCTCACTTGGATACGACGGAAGCCATTATAGGAGAAGGATTTGCTGCGCAACGGATTCGCATTTCTGCGATCGCCTATCTGAAGGAGTTTTCAGGCCGCGATCACGATGACGACCGCGCTCGAAGCTGGGTGCGAAAGGTCAAATCAGCTTTCTTGCGTGACCAAGCCCCCGGTTCGGGAAAATGTTTGGTTTTGGAGATTTGCTAACAGACCCAGCACGAGACTGGTACTCCCAGCTAAGCCGATCGACACGCAATAAGTAAAAAGAATTGCTGGAGAGTATTCTACTACAATACTGTGGACGCGGCATCTCTGCTGGTCGCCAGTATTACCACGCCTGCAAGCGTGCCGATGAAACTCCGCTAGAAAACCTCTTTCGGTTGAACGTTGCTGGGATGCGAGCGAAAATCCACGTGAAGGACAAGAACGTCACTGATCACCGAGAACACGTGGCACACTATATCGAGACACTGGATGACCACGATCTCGCAAAGCAATTGACCTTGCTGCGTTTGGACGACGTGGATACGCTGGAGTTAACGCTGCACACATATGAACGTATGCAAAAGCGCAAAGGAAATCTATCGATCCGTTCAGGCAAGTTCCACTCAAGATCAGCGTCGCCATACTCTCCGAGTCCATCCAAACCGGCTCGAGCTGTGCGTGCAATCCACGTGGGGGTCTAGAGCAGTTCGTCGGAATCAAATATAAGCAGTGCGGAAGAAGACGAAGAACAACGACGTGTTTACAGCGCCGCAGCAGCCGACCATACGAAGGACCGGGAAAATGATCGTCCGACCAAGCCAAGATCGAATGACCGTGAACGTGACCACGAGCGTGTAGGAGGGCACAAGTCGTGCACCCATTGTGGGTCAAAAAGACATGATGGCAGGGGATGCTGGAAACGCCTGACTTGTCTGAAATGCGGGCGCCGAGGTCACCCCTCCGACAAGCGTTTCTACGGATGCACACCGTGTAAAAAAGTACACGACGGGGGCAACTGCCCGATGGAGAAGTTTTACAATGTGCTTCGCAAGTGGTACGTGCCGACCAAACACACCGGAATGCTTCCCCCCGACGCTGAGAAGACGTTAAACTAGGACGCTCGCCAGGTTGGAACCTGGTACGAGCCGAGCGTTCTAGGCTATGCATGTATGCATTCATTGAGAAAAAATTGGGGGTGATAACAGTGTGAATCGCCTGACCGGCCGGACTTTCAGTACATGCGATTTGAACTCTAGTTCTTTTCCATCGATTGCAAGTTTGCGGCAACCGGATGAAGACGCACGATAACCTACAAAGATGGAACTCAAATTGTCTCCTGGTGAATCACGTTGTTACTGGAAGTACCAAACTCCAAACAAGTGGTTCAGGCAAGCCAAGGAGGGAAGAAAATTCAACATCGAGAAGGCCACCCTATTGTTTGACTCGGGAGCTGAAGTCTCAATCATCGGCACCACCTTTGCTCGTAGGGTTGGCTGTGTCATAGACGAGAGTCAGAAGCAAGAATGTGTGGGTATCGGAGAAAATTCATACATGGCAGAAGGCCGCACAAAGGTAAAAATCACGCTGAATGGCTAATTGGTTTACTACTTTGATGCACGGGTGGGTGACCAAGTGGGATAAGAAGCAATTCTAGGGATGGATTTTATGGTATCGGCTGAAATACGCCTTGACCTGGCAGACGGAACAGTGTGCTTACCGAACGAAGTCAGAATTCAATTGGAAGGTAGGATATCACCGTATGTGGCGAAGATACAATGAATTGCTGCGGATGAGAAGTATTTGGCGATACCGGTGGGTGACTCAGTGAAGGTCAATGTTGGTCGGGGGCCACTGCAGTCGAAATTGTGGTTATCGCGCCACGCACGTTGGGCATTCACGGCTATGACCGGACCCGGAAGACTTACGCACCTTCGCCTAACCAATTTAAACGATCAAGAGTTGATTATCCAACAGGGGACGCCGTTCGGGCAATGGATGCCAGCGGAAATGATACCACGGTCACCCGGGTATGTGTCGGTAGGGTCACGTCGTTATAAGGATTGGCAAACACTTGCATACGAAGCTTCTACAGATAGAGATGAAGCAGAAGAAGTACCGGAAGCAGAAGGACCGTTGTCGAGCGCCAGTCTTACCCAACACTAACGCATATTTTAAAACGACCCCACAGGATATGGTAGAGATGACCGCGGGGAGAGAGGAAGTGGAATGGAAAACAGTGTGCCGACATGTGACCAGGTGGATGACCAGGAGAATCAAGAAGGACCACAACCAGAAAGATCACCAGTAGCTATTAACTCGATCACCACACGTGATACGGGTTGCAATTCGGTAAATGATCGGCAGGAACAAACGAATGAAACCCAGAGAGAAATGACTACGCGATCACCACGTCCGCCGGCTTGGTCAACCCTATTGAGGCGATGAAGGATACGACGTTGGTGCACGAGAATTCCGAAACGCACCCACACGAATGTGGAGATAACCTCAATCCCGAATCGATCAAGGATATGGTACTCGATAGTATGCAAGACAAGTCTCCTAATTCCTTAGATGGAATTACTGTTGGGGATGGGGAGGTGTATCTACCGCCCGACCGTCTGGGATACCAAGAAGCAGCGGTCACCGGAGAAGGAGAACAGGACTGCACGTCATACCAACACGCAGGTGCTACGTTATTCGCGGAAGATGTTGGCCAACACATGGCAGTATTACCGGAGGTAAACACGACGCCATGCGAGGTGAAGATTGAGGATATACAGGTGGGCGAACCAGGGGTTCCATTGACGAAAGAGCAAGAAGAATTACGCCAGCTGATATGGAAGAAAATACATCCGTTGATGGGCAAGAAAAACGCCCTCCCACCCTGCTGCTCGAGGCGTGATATGTGACTTAGATGTGGGAGGGGCGACCCCAATAGCACAACAAGTGAGGCCTGTCGCCCCAAAGTTCTGTGGAAAGTTGGCGGACCTGATCAAAGGGTTACTATTGGCAAAGATTATATGTTCCTCAACCTCGCCGTGGGCATCGCCGATCGTAGTGATCGTAAAAAAGAATGGGGTAGATATACGAATATGTATAGATTACCGACGAGTCAACCTATTGATAAGGGTGATGGTATATCCCATGCCCTTGATAAACGACCTACTGCAGGACTTGGATAAAGCGCTATGGTACTGCTCATTGGATATGTTTAGCGGATTCTGGGTTGTGGAAATGACGGAGAGAGCACGAATAATTTCTGCGTTTTTACGCCTTCAGGTCTGTATGAATGGCTACGAATGCCGTTCGGGCTGAAAAACGCGCCGCAGATGTACCAGCGTATGGTGGATAATGCATTGTACGGGTATCTCACGATCGGCGAACAGCGGACATCAAGTGGTCGCGAGGTGTCACAACTGGTCGACGTGTTCACGCACGGCGAGCCGGACCCGCGCCGAAAGCCTTCAGTGTTGGGGCGGAGGTCCTATACTGATGACATTCTGATCCCGGCATCGTTCTGGACGTCCCTCCGTGACAAGGTAGACGGACTGTTGGAAATCTGTGATCAATGGAATTTGTCGATCAGTTTACCTAAGAGTGTGTGGGGACGACGCAAGGTTGAGTATCTCGGGCATTAGATGTTTATATCAGGAATAGAAGCCGACCCGAATAGTTTGGAGTCGTTGGTATATATTCTATTTCCCCAAACATTGCGATCAATGCAGTCTTTTTAGGGAAGCTTTAATTGCTACAGCCGATTCATTGAAGATTTCGCCACATACGCATCAGTCCTGTATTAAAATGATACCCAGACCGACGATGACCATGGCCAGAGGCTAGTGGGTAGCTGTGATCGACAAATGACAAAGATGGATGGTCATGAACAACCGAATACAGAGGAATCTAATGGCGAACATACAAGTGGTCATCGTTGAAAAAAACTATGATCGCGTTTACAATGCTGAAAGCAAAAATTGCTCAGACCCCAGTGCTAAGACATTTTATTAACCCTGATCGTCGGCCAGTGATAGTGGCATATGCCAGCAAATGGGCGGTATCCGCAGCTTTGTTGCAAGAACACGACGGAGAGAATTGGCCTGTTATGTTCACAAGTCGCACGTTAAAATCGAATGAAATCAACTATGGTGTGGTGGAGGAAGAAATCCTGGCCCCGCTCCGGATATTAGAGGTTTGTTATACACTACTAGTATCGCGGGACCTTAAGGTGCTCACACGGGATTTAACTCTGTCGTGGTTGATGCAATCATCGGGCCTTAACGGGAGACTTGGAAGATAGGCAGCTCTACTGTCAACTTGGACTCTGAAGATTTACCGACGCAACAAAGGAGAGGACAAAATTCTTGGCACTCTTGCCGCAAGTAACACACCACGGGAGGATGTAAATGATATGCTGATCGCGATCGCGCCCCGAAAGCAACCGAGATAGATTATCAGTATGCCGCCCCTACGATCAGCCGCGAAGAATCGCTTCTTGTCGTCAGTTTTGATGGAGCAGCCCGTATCAAGAATAAAGGGGGGGCCTACAGTGCAATAATATGGAATCTTCCCGAGTGGACTATAGTATCGGCTGCGTCGCGATTCGACACTAGGTTGACCATGAACGAGGCAGAGTACCATGGGTTGCTACTGAGTTGCGAGTTGTTGTCCAAGCAGACAAGGGGACGAGTGGTCATTTGTGGGGATCTCAACCTGGTCATCAGGCAGATGAGGGGCGAAATTGACTGCAAGGCACCGGGACTGCAGTAACTACGTCTCAAAGCCCTAGATCAACTGCGATCATGGCCGACTCATGAAACCTTACATGTTACGCGCGATTGGAATCAAAGTGCCGATGGACTGGCTAGCTCCGCTTTACAGCTGGAAAATGGCATGGTCAGACTAAAGGAGCAGGATTGCCATGATTTACAAGCGATGAACCGTCTGGACGAGATATTAGTATTGGCGACCAAAAATCAAGTGGCCAAGATGACGGCGATCACACGATCAGCCAAACGGAGGCGTGAAGTGTCCACGATTATGCAAGAGGAAATGATATCTTGTGCTTGCTTTATGCGCTCCAGTCGAATTCAGCAGATTCGACTAGAGCGCATAAATTAAGCACAAGAATCAGAAAGTTGGATCGCCAACCTCAAACTTTACCTAGTCGGGGATGTTACCGAATCGGACACTAAGAAAGCAGTAGCAAGTGCGGTTGTTGCCCCGAATTACGTGGTATGTAAAGGTGAATTGTTATATTTTTGCCCACGAGCGGCAGCAAACCCCAGTGACCACACGGATCTCGTCCGTTTGGTAGTTCCAGAATTACTGCAAGATGATGTCCTACACCACTACCATGCAAGTCTGGAAGGTAATCACCAAGGGGAAGGCCGAACGTATCACCGCGTAAGATTGTACTTTCATGCAATCGTACGCGGTGATACGTTCGGCCTACTTCTAAACATGCACTGAGATGCATGTTTAGAAGCGTGCAGCAGTATGTGGGGAAGTGTGTCGACTGCGAAACCGGGAAAGGATGTCCGATCCTACGAGGCGAATCCCCGGAAAATTTACAGACCACGTGCCCGTTCCAGATCATTGCAATGGGTCATATTCCCTCGTTACCCAGTTCATCTAAAAGGAATACCGGAATGTTGCTTTGGATGGATTTGTTTCCTGGCTACGTGATCGCTAAAGCTAGCTCTTCAAGAAAGGCCCAGACGATCGCGGAAGGGTATGAAGAATGTGTCTTCCGGCGGTTTGGGGCAAGTGAATCTATTCATCACGACCGCAAACCCGAATTCATTTCGGATTTCTTTCGCACGTTCAACCGCATCGCTAGTTAGAAACTACGTGCCACAATCGCGTATCGACCTCAAGCCAATGGTCCAGCTGAACGTATGGTCCAAAAATCGATCAGAGCGCTTAAAATGTATGTCACGGATGTGAACCAACAAGATTGGGACCAATATGCTGAACGCCTGATCTTCACCATCAATAAGGCCCGTGACCGAGTACGGAGTGATACTCCGTTCTATCTTATATATGGTTGGGATCCGCGATCAACGCTGGAAGCGACCTTGCCGTTGGGATGTACTAAAATACGTGATCGGGATCCCCGGCGATGGCGCTATCACATACAGCGGCAATATCAACGAGCTCGCGCTACGGTGAATGACCGACTGAAGGACGCCATTCAAGACCGAGCCAACCAACACAACGATGATCAAGGGCCAAATGGAATCAGCCGCGGTAGCCAAGTGTGGCTGTATTTGGATTGAGTGAAGAAGGGATATGTCAGGAAGCTGGCTTACATGTGGCACGGCCCGTTTCGGGTGATCGAGAAGTGCGGGGAACATGCAGTGCGGTTGGAGGTACAAGGGACCTCATACCGATTCTTCCCACTCGTTCACGTATAAATCTGTAGCTAGTACGAACTTTCCCTGATCGACCTGCTGCGCGGCCGGGGGTGGAAGAAACAGAGCGTGTTGATTTTGACGAAGCTCTGCTTCCAGAGGACAGCTGGGAAAACGATTTAGCCGAAGGAGAATACGAGGTGGATAGTATCCGAGATGTGAGAACAGGACAAAAGACTCGGTACGGAATGGTACACTGACAGTTCCTGGTCCGACGATAGGGTCATAAGGATGAGACTTGGGTGGATGAGGCAAACCTCAATTGTGGTGCTTTATTGCAAGAGTTTGAATGTGATCGAGCTAGGCGAAACCGTTTTGAAGCGATGCAAGTACATGAGGAAAAATCCAGATATTAGGGTGACCAGGGAAGGTAACCGCGGCCTTAGAGCATGGGGACTGTATGGTGTGTGAGAGAACGAGGGATGAACACGTGAACCATGAATGTGAAGGAGTGATGTGGTCAACTAACATGGTGATCATACAGTTAAGATGATCAAGAGCGGTGACCGCGGCCACGAAACACTGTGACCGCCTGGTCTATAAAAGGAGGAGGAATGACTACGTAAGCTATGGATGTAAAGGAGTTGCGTGGTCAGCCAAAGCGGTGTACACAGAAGCAAGGAAACATGGTGAACAGACTACAATAGAAGTAAATTTAATAAGCGGCGACTGGTGGTCATGACTGTAACCATAAACGTCATAGTCTCTCATGCTGGAGACGACCTTACACTGCGCTACAAACTTGGTCCGGAGACGGTCGATGGACGTGTCTGGGTGGTCAGCAATGGCTTCCCGATATTGATTGCGCCACTAGTCAGCGGAACCCGCAAGGAGTAAGGCTGAGGCCAGATTCGGGATGTTGGTCTGTCGACAGCCAAACCCTGGATACCACCAACATTTCTCAAACCTCCTGGAAAGTGCAGGAAGAAGGGGTCCAACAGGATGTCGAGATCACACTGACACCTGACCAACCCCTCCAACACGATCCAGAGTACAGCCTTCCGCCGGGGGCTGGACCTGGAACGCCGACGACGCTTTTCTTCATAGAAGTCGCTCAGGTCTTTCGCGCGACTTGGACCGACGATGATCGGAGCACATGATTAGACTCCATAACGCCTGGCGATAATGGGCTTCAAACTCATGATACGCGGTCATCAAAGCTTGGAATTAGCCAGTCGGGCGGAATGATACAGGCGCAATAGGCTGATCCAAGACGTTTTAAGGTTTTTGGCTGTATAAGCAGCGATCTGGGCGGAGGTCACTAGCTGCGCGGACTACTGAGCTTCAGTTGGCGGACGCAGAGAACCATTTGGAACGGGGAACAGGTAGTGCTTGGGCCGGGAGTAGTGGTGGAACAAGAGATCCCAGTCCAGGTGACCTACAGTGACCAAGCCCAAGCGATGGAATGACCACGGCGAAAACTGGCCAGGGGCATAAGTTGCACGAGTGCGATACCCAGGTATCCACTTATCGCGCGAGGACCGCACGGGGGGTAAATCCTTGAAGGCGGCCAGGGATAAGAGCTTGTTCACTGGGGCATGACCGTAGCTTGGTACCCTCACCGACCCATCGGACTCGTCGGGCGCCCTGGGTGGCTCTGCGGTCGGAGGTGTCGCAGCGATGGGCGGCGACCGGGAGACGGCCGATGAAGTACGTATATCACGTCTGGACGGAGCCAAACGAGTCGCGGGTGTATGACTGGCTAGATCGATCTCGATCAGAGTGTCAGCCAACCCATCAGCAGATCTTGTGGCCGAGGCAGAAGACAGCCGTCGAACGGAAGAACGTGACCGTAACAGTGCGATGAGCATGGCCTCGTCAGCAGATTCTACGGAGCCGTCGTTATCCTGCGCATGAGATGCGGGGGGGGGGAAACGCGGTCGTGTTTGCTTCTGTGACCGCCGAGTCATAACAGACGGTGGCATGGTCACGGTCTTGGGCTTGGACGATTTTTTGGTCGTACATGCTAAATTTTGGGGACGTCGAGGCGAGGGCGAGACGCCTGCCGGGACTTGGGGTGAGTGGATACCGATCGTGAATGGGTAGTTGGGCTGGCGGGCCCTGCGACCGTAGAGGAAGGGCTGGCAGACGAATCTGGTCCGACCGAACTCGAGGTGACCGTAACGCGCGCTCGCTTGTTCGGGGGTGGAACAGGATCGGCCGCTGACTGCTCTCGCCGCCGCTTATCATAGGCGAGCCCCACCGACGAACGAAGTTCCATAACGAAGTTGACCAGATTGTTGAGCTGGGCCTGGTGGTCGCGAGAAAGCTGATCCCGTTCGGCTCGCAACAGTGCTAGTTCCTCGACATGAGCAGCATGGGAGGAGCGCAAACGGTGAAGCTCTTGGTGGCTTAAAGCGCGCTTCCTTCTCAATTGGTCAAGCTCTCGACCACGTTGTGCAAAGCTGCGAGCAAGCGCATCGAAACCGATCCGCAGTGGAGCAACACGCTGCTCACTTTCCACTACCGCTCGCCGTATGGCTTCACACTCCTTAGCTAACTGGTCAACCTCGGTCGTGTCCACGTCATGCACTTGGTCACTACCCACGTCAGAATCAGCAGAAGATGCATCGTCCGCCGGGGCGTCATCAGATCCGACCGAAAATCCAACAGGGTCAACAAGGTGGTCAGCTGGAGCGGGGCTGGCTTGGTCAGCCTCGGCAGTGTCCAAGTTACGCACTGGGTCGCTACCCACGTCAGCATCGGCAGAATTAGAATCGTCAGAAGAGGCATCGTCCGCCGGGGCGTCATCAGATCCGACCGAAAAGCCAACAGGGTCGGCAAGGTGGTCAGCCGGAGCAAGGCCGGCTTAGTCAGGCTCGGTCGCGTCTGGTTCAAGGCCAGTGTGATCTTCGTCATCAGGAGCAGGAGTGGCCGACCGCAGCGGAGTCAGCTAAGGAGACGTCGAGCCCGAAGGCAGGGGTTGTTTAACGGCCGGGTGAGATGGAGGCGACATTTTCAGCAAAAATCAGGGGAAGGCAGATAAAAAAGTGCTCAGCCAGATCGGCACCGGCTGCCAACTAACAGAGCAGGAGACGACTGTGGTGAAGTGGTCAAAGGAAATCTTGACCAATCGCCTTGATCACCTCGTAAGTACATGTGGGACCGGTCATGCCGGTCTTGGGACTGACCGCTACTGAAACTCCCCAACGATAAGCTGGACGGTTTGCAAGTCGTCAGTGGCGGTCACAGATTGTGACCACCGGTTAGGGTCACGACGAATGACTGACCGGTCATGGTCCCTATGGGCGACCAGTGGTCATAGTCATGATGGGTGACCAGTTATTATGGTCAAGATGAGTGACCAGTGGTCATGGTCACGATGGGTGACCGGTGGTCATGGTCACGATGGGTGACCAGTGGTCACGGTCACTGCAAGATGACCAGCGGTCATGTTGGCAGTTATGGTGGTTTACTTCAAGCACAGGTAATGGGTGGTGGTAGGCGAACAACGTAGCAGAAAACTGAGATAAAGAGAAGTGTAAATGTAGTTCTAGCCCCTAGTAGGTTAATAACGACTAGTATTGATTTTCCTACAAAAGACACGCGTCAGCATTCCTCTGGGCTAGAATACTAGTGGCCACCCCACGTACAAGGTTTAATGTCTACGTCTTTGCTCAAGGTTTGTCCCTAGATTGCTTGGCTAGGGACAAGTTTACTCATTCAAGTTAGCCCGCCATCGGACGCGGCAAGCATACAAGGCAAGGTCTTCAGACGGCTCGAGTGATCAGAAGGACAAGGTGATCAAGTGGTCAGAAGAACAAGGGGAATCAAGTATCCACATTTGGGCAAGGCGACCTCAAGGAAGGTCAGGCAACTCTAGGAGAGTGCCACCAGTAACCGTTCGTCGTGTGAATAATTACCACGCGACCACACCCCACCTATTCTCAACTCGGTCAAGACAAGACATCGACCTCAAGACACCTAGAAGAGTGCAACCGCCCGTCTACGGGTACACAAGGTGAAAAGGAACAAGACAAACAAGACACACGGTCCGGAGTATCCCCTCCGTTAGTCGGTTGTCCGGGCGCAAGTGGGGAGTCAGGATCGCTACGTAAATGAGCGAATCTCACTCCACCACACAACCTTCTCCAAAGGAACGCAATCTGATCCTTTAATATGTCCTGACGATACCTTGGTGGCCTCCTTTCATACTAGCGCGGTAATGGTGCAAAAAGTCTCGTTGCAACGTCTCTAGAATCACCAGACGCATTAAAACCGTCGCGATCTTCTGATTCTCTCTCCGCCATTGTAAAAAAAACAGCAAGTCGTTCTGATCAATCTCATACTCTGGCGCTAATTTTACACACGTCCTCGCTTCTCTTGCGTCCAGGCTAGATACATCGCCATTCAGACACTTCGTCAGATTGACAATCCAACGCTCCTCTTTTTGAGCCTGAACAATTCGCCAAATCCTAATCCTCTGCAAAATCTCTTCCTCTAACACTTCAGGCTGAGGGCGTCTATTTCCGGCCGATCTCGTGATCGCGATTATTCGTGCAATTGGATTGTCCTGCTTAGGCATCAACATTTCAACTTAACGGTTCAACGTAGTCGGATCTCGCCGATCTTCCTCAGTCGCAACAATTATCCCTTTTTCATTTTGCAAGGCTGTGCTGGCTAGTCGATCCGCACTCTGATGCCATTATCACTTCACATGCAGGAACTCATGACTCGGCCATGATCGAAGTTTCTGCATTGTCTTGTGATGCAAAAACTGTGACCCGGGCGCTTTAAAATGTGTCTCACCCCAAATTTGCCGGGTCACTAAGTTCGAGTCACCACGTACGATGAATCGTCCTCTAGTCTGGCCATCTTACAGATTGAAACCCAGTAACATGCCGCGAAAATTCGGCTGCATTTTCACCGTCAGATCCGCTGCGTGTTCCGAAGCGGCTACAATAATTGTCCATTCTGGTAGTTTCCATACGATCGCGCTATTTGATCCACCCTTGCGTTTGGTTCGCGCCGATCCGTCGAAACTGACAACCAAGAAGTTCTTATCCGGTTCCACCGTGGGGGTGGCATGGTTACCAATATTTAGGTTGGTTCTGTGGGGTGATCGCGATCAACATATCATCTACCTCACCTCGAGGCGTTATGCTAGCTGCGAGTGCGCCGAGTATTTCATCTTCCCCTTTTTCGCATCTTCTGACCTCCAGTTTCCAATTAGATAGTAGCGCGGCCCACCTTTCTAGTCTCCTGTTGAGGCCAGACGATTAAAGTATCCGACTATCGAGTCAGCACCCTGATCTCTCGGGATACTAGCATAGTGCAACACACCCACAAAATTCGAAGCAGGGCTAATACTTCTTACTCCACCATGCCATAATTGATCTCGTTGGGCTTCAGTGTGCGACTCGTGAATGTTACCGGCCAATATACGCCATCCCATTCCTGCAACAGGAAGTCTGATACTGCCCACCTACTAGCATATACCACGATCACTGGAAGTCGATCTGGATCGAAGTGCCTGAGGATCCGGGTATTAGCAATCTTAGCCTTTAACAGGGTGAATACAATAGTGGCTTTTTCCACCGAGATTGCTCCTTTAAAACGAGATGATCTCCTCGTAGGGTGCGATCGCGATCTCCCATTATTGCCTACCGATCCTTCACGTGATCAATCTGGAAAAACAAACCTCTCGTAGCTCGTACAATACCGATGTGTACACTGCAAAATACTCTATGAATCGACTGTAATAGTTCTGGCTACCCAGGAATGATTGCATGGAATGCAATGTTGTGAGGAAAGGGATGTTGACTAGCGAATGAAGATCCTTGGGGTTGGCCGTTAACCCGGCCAAAGATACCTGATGATCTAGGTAGTCCACCTTACGCCATCCCCGAAAACATTTAGTCAAGCTGATCGACAAATTTCATCAATCGCATACCGTCAGTAATCGCTCGACCTGGTTATACAAGGAAGTCCATGACGTAGCTGGGATCAGTATTTCATCAATATAAGATCTTCAGTCTAGCACTGACGGTGTCCGATCGGTTTCTGGTTCTCCTTCGGTGAACACATCGGTCAACTCAAAGAAATCTGTTGTGTTCACATCCTTATCTGCGCCGATCTTGAGGTACCCGTATAAAGCGTTATCAATCAACCGCTGATAAATTTGTGGATTATTCTTTAGTCCTAAAGGCATCCTCAACCATTCATATAGGCCTGACGGTGTGACAAATGCAGATATCAACTTATTTTGCTCGGTCATCTTTACCACCCAAAATCCACTCGCCATGTCCAATGAACAGTACCACATTGCTTTGTCCATATCTTGCAGCAATGTACTGATAAGCGGCATAAGATAAACCATCAACCGTGTTAGTTGATTCAATCGTCGGTAGTCGATACATTGTCGGATGTCTTCTTCATTCCATGTAGTTACCCCCGGCAGCACATCCATATGTTGTTCCACATCTCTTGCGAGCAATTCGCCTCCTTCACGATAATATATTGAATTTCATCAGTTTATTGTCTTTCGTCACTTCGTTGTCGATAATAATAGCTTGTGCGTCGCCATCTATTCGTGTATACAGGCCATGCACCTCCGACCTTCGACCTTGATCTCGTCCGGATGACATTTGGACTTTCCTTGTAGCGGATCAGTTATCTCATGGTCGTATCCCTGTGTTTTCGCCTCCTATGCAACCACGTCTACTCCAACCTATTGTTTCGACGTCTTCCGCACTGCGTTGAGGCGGGCATCGCAATATGTTGATCGTTAAGGTTAATTACCGATATTTTCGATCGGAATTATGGTCTCCGTCCAGCCAAACCGATCCAAACTTCATCCGGTAGACACAGTGTTTCGTCGGCCAGATCCAAACGGATGCCTGCCGAAACCATGAAGTTCACACCTAATATGGCTTCCTAACCAACCTGATCGCCAACCCAGACATCAAAATAGTAAAATAGTGACCCGTTCAGTGTGATCTTAATCTTGGTCCGTCCTACCGTCATATAAGTACTCTCTCCGATCCCAACGCATTCTTTCGTTCGGCTCTCGTCGATCACACATCCTACCTTACGAGCAAAGGTTGTATCGATGATCGAGATTTCCGCTCTAGAATCAAACAACATAGTGGCCTTCTCATTGTTGATATTGCCTACTGATCTCACTTGCTTGAAACACTTTCCCGGAGTACGATACTTCCGGTATCCCCTTGACTCCCCTGGGACAAGGCCGAGCTCCATCTTCACAGGGGATCGGGCTAAATCGTCCACTTGATTCAAACTTGATATAATAGAAATGAATGGTGGACGATCACATACATCAGTGATCGGATCGCGCCTATCCTTCACTTTTTGATCCTTCCTCCGTTTCTCCACAATTGCATATGTGCATAGCCTAGAACGCTCGGATCGTGCCAGATTTTAAACTGGCGAGCGTCCTAGTTTAACATATCCTCTACCTTGGGGGTAAACACCCCCGCGTGTTTGGTAGGCACATATTACTTGCGGATCAAGTTAACGAATATTTCCATGGGGCACTGGTGATTCTCATGCACCTCTCCGCAAGCTGCACAAACATAGAAACACTTGTCCGATGGGTGTCCTTACGGCCAAATTTGTGGCACGACAGTCTCTGCAACATCCCCGATCGTCATGTCTGGTAAATCCACAATGGGTACACGCCTTCGTATTTCCGCTTCGATCACATCCATCTCTTTTACCAGTGCTCCTATGCCAAGCGCGATGATTCTTGTCCGATTTTTCTTGATCAGGCGTAGTAGTCACACAGGCTTGGCGAAGATCCTTGCATTCATCGTATCCTATTGAGTCAGATTCCGATCCGCTGCTTGCGACTCTTTCGCGGATCGCCCTCACAACCCGGGCTGTCTTGGATGACATCT